TTTTAATGTGAAGTAAGAAATGTTTAACTTTTTGACAATGTTGAGGGAAGCCATTGGCGTTCCATGGTCATATGTTAAGTATTGCAGGTTTCATTTCTTCGCTAAAACAGTTGAGAATAGATTCAGCATTGTGCCCATCTGTTTTATTAAATTTCATCATATTTTTGAGCTCTTGTATATCGTTTTGTTGATTATTTTTTTGATCAATACTAGCTGTTGATGCTCGATTATTTAGAGGAAGGTATGTAATTGGTTGATATTCCAGGTTTGATTATATTTGAGGTGTCCCACGAATTACTTGAGAATACTGTAAGTTGGACTGTACAAATGAATTATTTTGAACATTGGATGCTTGACTGGGTGGTACTTTCTTCCTTAATCTGGGAAATTTTTGTAGCATTTTTTTCATATATTTCGCAACGTTTATAGTTGGCCGGAAGGTTACCAAGAACACAAAGCGCATTTAACGTTTGTGTTCATGTTTTCAGTCTATGAGCATTCTTTAGTGTAATTATCACCTGCACATTTGGCACATCTTGGTAGGCGTATATAATAGTTTTGAGTGTGTCCATAATTTTGACATTTCATACACTATACAAGGTGAGGAGAGTTTCTCTTGGCTTCAATGACGACTTGTGTTCTGTATAAAAATTCCACTTTATAAATATCCTTGTTATTTTTATTTTGCTCTAGTTCAATAACAAATATATTTAGTGAAAGTTTAGTTGGTCTGGTTTTTTGAATTATAAATTCTTAAAATTATATGTTCTAAATTGTCAATTTCTTTTTTTAACAGATCAATATCGGTACTATGATGTAGGTTTTTCACTACAATTTAGAACGATCGCTTCGATTTTTCTTGATATGAGTGGAGCTGAGTCTCCCTGTATTTCAACAATTTCAATACTTTGTTGTATGTTTTGAAATCTTTCGTATTAACTTTCACCTGCCTGCTTGTTATTATTTTCAATGTATATAAATTTTTGACGTAATTATCTAGATGTTTAATTAGCGGTTTGATATCTTTGAGTTCGTGCACAAATATAGGAGGTGGCAAAGTTGTTTTTTTATGTCAGATTGGTTTCCGGAGCTACATGTTGGAGTGTGTCGTAATAATTACTTGTTGGTAGTGGGTTTAGCCAGTAATCTTTCGAAGTAACCTTCTTGGAATCACTGACTGATAATGTTTCATTTTGTGGTCTTTTTTCACTTGTTGCGACGGTTTCCATTCTTCGTTGCTAACATTGTTGTGTATATTTCTGTCATTACAGGGCGGTTTAAGTAACTGCTTATCTCCTTTGTTAGATGCAATTTTACATTCCTGATTGCTATTGTTATTGTGCGCATTACGGTTGTTACCAGGTGGTCTAGATATCTGTTCATCATCTTTTATCATTATTTGGTATGCAGTTTGGCAATATTTGGTTCACAACAAATTTTGCGTTTGTTTGAGAATCATTCATATTTCGGAATACAATTTAATTGATTTCTTTACAAAAAACACAATTGTTTATATACACTGTACACAATACATTATATGTATTAACCTTGACATGCCCCCGAAGCGAAAACAGGTATTGAACGGTACGCACTGTACACAATACCTGTGTGAAGGTACTGTCACTGTCACACTGATATAATTTTTATTAACTTCCCGTAGGGCAAATTATAGTAATCGCCAAAAAATCGAAAATGAAAATTTTTATATATCTTTACATTTCAGAGGTTTCTGAACATTTTGGCATACCTTAGAAAAAATGTATGTATGTGTGTGTGTGTGTATGTACGTATGTATGTGTGTAGTGTATGTATGTGCGGATACAAATTTTCGTCGACGATTTCGGGAACACCGATCAACCGATTTGAATAATTCAAAAAGCATTCGATTCATATTGATAGGGAGACGTGCAGATTAGTTTTTGGCGAAGGCAGGTCTAGCCGTTCCGAAGATACGAGGCAAAAAGTGCCGAAAACGGTAACTTATTTTTTAAGAGAACGGAGCGTCCGATTTTAATAATTCAAAAACATTTCACTTGTATTGACAAGATGAAGAATTGATCAAATTTTCATGAGGGCAGGTCTAGCGGTTTCGGAGATCATCAGATATTTTATAGAGGTTTTAACAATAAGTATAAATTTTGTTTACATTCCTATGGGTTCCGTACCAATGCTTATCCGTTAGACAGCGACGCGGCGCTTACGCGCTTCATATTTTGTCTCTATGCAGTTAAAGCAGTACGATTGCTTTGAAAAAAAGTTCAGATCTTCCAAAATATGTCAAAATAAAAAAAAAACATTTTTTTTCAAAAAAAAATTAAAAAAAGATTTTTTTTTTTAAAAAAAAAATAATTTTTTGTCCAATTATAGTTTCTCAAAAATATTATTTTTTTGAAGTAAAATTTTTTCAAAAATGTTAATCGTTTTTAAAAAAATAGTAATTTTTGGTACGGGAAGTTTCAGCAATTTGCCTTAAGGCACGATGCCTTAATTGCCTTAAGACAGATTTCCACTTACAGCTAGTTTGGGTATTAAATCGGCAGACCGATGTTTATTCTTCGGCGTCTGGCGACTGAATGAGATCGACATGAAGTCATTATTTTATGACCCAAACAATTGTCGCATAGAATTAACATCTGAATCAGGAATCGCCCGTTCAGGTATACGTATCTTCTATTCTAGAAATTTCGACAAGGTAAACACACTGATTTGTTTCTGACACGCAAATCATTTGTTGTTGTATTTATTTTTCAACAAAAATGACCGGCTAATTTTAGCGTTTTTATAATTTTGCTTCTCATTTGTCTTTAATCGTGCAATTTCTGCACCAATTTCTTTTGTTTTCGGATTAGGATCCGGCGTCAAAGGACCAAAATAGTGAGGTTGGGGGGTTTTTCAACCCCTTTTGGACAATTTTTTACTTCGAAGAATAGGTATATTCAGAAAATCAAAATAATTGAATAAGATGTAAATAAAAAATTAAGTGCTTTTTTATAAGCCGTAATGAATAAACTATCTATACAATAAAACTAAACATATTCTACATAAATTTTATATGAATCAAAAGAATAAGAACTAACAACTTAATGTTAATATTGAACAGAAATGTTATCTGTAAGTTTAGAAGTCCAGGCCGGCAACTACTTGAAGGGGCCTGGAAACATTATCGCGGTCGGGTTGTAATGTTGAAAATGAATTCGAATACATTGATAACAACAAATAAAAAAATAACTGATTCACTTGACATGTATTAGAATGTAAACAACTGATAACACTAACTGAATAGGACGATGAAAACTGTCTGAACGAAACTACTTAACGAACTACTGAACTAACAACTGAATAGAACTGAATTAACAGCTGAATGAATTGAATCGAACGGAAGTGATTTACTAGTGCCTGCATCGGCTTTTTTATATTCGTAGGAATTGCTCGATTTTAGAAATTTCAAGTGTTGTCCGAATATAAAACCAAACCTTTTGTAGGTCCAACAACTTACGCAGCTGTCGCGCAAACAATGTTGTATTTTTTATTGTAATTCGAGGTGAAACTAGCATATTGGCATATCTTAAAAACCGTAGCTGGCAGCAAATTTTTCATACCGTTTTCGTAATCAACTTCCTCGAATTATTTAAAAACCAACATGAAGTCTCAGAAAACAAAATTAGTGTTGCGCAGTGTTACTTTTCAAAATTTTCCGTGGTAATATAGTCTTATTTTTATGCATATTATTTACTCCTTATTAATAATTACAAAATAATTTTTATTGTAAACGATCACGACAATAGCTTTGATATAATCATATGTTGGTTTTGAGTAATAAGCGAATAGATTATGGAAAATAGTTATGTATATAAAAATATAAATTCCATTTGTAAAATAATATAAACAATTTATTTATTATAAATTTTCATGATATCGAAATGACAAGTGATTTTGTTTCTGTTTCGATTCTCAGCTTGCTTGATTCCCCACATACTCCCTGCCTCACCTTATCAGTTTAAAAAAAAAACAGGGAAACACATTATAAATATATGGTGGGAAAGCAGATTGTAGCAGTGTTGTGAATTTGGCACTCTTTCGCACACGAAATCTTGCACAAATTCATGAAGGTATGAACACAATTGTAGTTCACCATAAATGGATAAAAGTCATCAAGCATCGTCATCGAAGTTAGTTAAACATTATACGAACTTGTCGATGGAGTAACTCGGACAGTTGGTTCAATGAGAGCAGTTGATTCGGAAGTGCAGAATTGTATTGTCTGAACCTTCATAAGAGCTTACTGTTTGATTGACTGGAGTCGATGAGGAGAACTTGGTTGAAGTATCTAAACCCAGTTCTAAAAACAACATACAATCCAGATCCAGTTCCAAAGTCTTATGCATCAAAAGACGATTTGGTGTGTTAAGGGACAAGGAGAGGTTGAATTGCTATTCCAATGAGCTATTTGGTAGTGAATTCAATTCATGGCCTAAAGTCTAGGCTTAGAATTAATTTTTGTGTAAGCAATAACACTGAGGCCTGGGTGTACAAAATGGGCATACCGACGGAAGTTCGGGGTCAGGGCTAAAGTAAATGCGTTAACTCGCGATGGCCCGAGGACTGGAGGTACATTTAAAGTAGCCAACGGAAGACCAGTGATTATGGTGCTGCACCAAAGTCCATATTTTCTATTCCCGATTCATGATCCTTTTCTGTCTTCATCAGAAATGTCGTAGGTCACCAGTATGGAAAATAGTATATAAAATATAAGTATATAAAAGTGTATATAAAAATATAAAATCCATTTGTATAAAAATATAAACAATTTATTGATTATAAAATTTCATGATATCAAAATGACAAGTGATTTTGTTTCTGCCTCGATTCTCAGCTTGCCTGATTCCCCACAAGATAAACAAGTTTATGGCCGGGCCAGAGTTAAAGTCTAATTTGTTTTATTGATTCATTTGTGTCTGTGTTCATGCAGTTTAACTGAAATATGATTTTTTTATTTTCAGATGATACAAAGTCGCAAATTTTTGGAATGGATATGACCTGGTTCACAGTGACTTTGCTCAGTTTATTACTTGTACTAAGTGCATGTGCAGTATCCATTATTATTTGTTACTGCAGAAAAAAACATAGAAAACTGCACCATAGCATCAACAATCAAATTCAATGTAAGAATATTTACATTGTATTCCAATATTAAAGAACCTAAAATGTATATATTTTTATTTAAACTCAAAAACTCAACCCTATTAGGGAATTTGAAACTAATAATGTTGAATAATTAGTTGTTAGTGAAAATTTGTTTAAACTAATTTTTAATTAGAGCGCTATTATTTGATATGAAATATATAGTACAGACCACTGTGAATACATACTAATTAGCTTTTTTTTGGTTACGACAAAAAAGAGTTGGTTATAGGCGGCTACTTTGAGATATTTTTGATATATCCCTACAATTAATGCAGCATACATTCAACTTATACCCTTACCATTTAGTTCAAGTTCTTCATCTCTTTCAATATGGTAATGCTGATCTCTATTCTTTGTCATTTACGTAATTTGACAATTCTGCTTACGTTTAGTATCATTCGCCGGTATTACCACGAGATGATCTGAATACTTTATGGTGGTGAATTTTCCAATCGTAAATCAGCAAGGCTATTGAGTTCTAATCGACGTCTATAATTTGTATAATCTCCATAAGCGTAATTCAACTGACTTTGTAAAAGGCTTTCTACCAATCTGAGAAACAAAAATAACCTGTTCAACATTATCCTCAGTGTTCTGGTGGCGACTCTAGTGTCTTTTTCTTTTCTGAACCCAAACTGGTTTTCAAACTATAATTTTATTACATATATTTTTATGTAGATCAAGAGATTATATACACGAAGTATATATACACGAATATATAATAGAAATTGAAATATCGAATTTTATTCTCAAGTAAGAAAAATCGATTCTGATGAAACGGCCAACCGAACTACCATAATATAAAACTAGAGTTGCATTGCATTGTGCCTTAAAGCAAATATCTAGAACTTTGAATGTTGGAATGTTTTTTGATTGATTTTATTCGGATGGTTGGTTCTCTCGAACACTGCATGGCCGTTTTTTAAACCCTTTGCGCTCTAAAAACTAAAAATCTTAGTACGGAAATATAAAAAAATAACGAAAAAATTGAAATAACATTATTACTCATTATTAAAATCTCTATGAATATTTGATAATTTGATGTGCATATGTCTAATTATTATTTCTGATAGTCAAATATCATTTTTTTAACTTTTTCATCTGTATCTCTGAAATAGCTGCATCTGCTTTTCCAAGATTGTTATAAATTTTTTATTTTGTCCATACAAGTAAAATGTTTTTTGAACCATTCAAATCGGACGCTTTGTTCTCTAAATCATTGAATTGCTATTTTGGCACTTTTTGCCACATATGTCTGAAATGGTAGGACCTGCCTGAAATTGCAAAAAAACGAAAAAACAAATTCTTTGCGTAATTTTATATTTCAAAAGTTTCTGAACAATTTAACATAACTTAAAAAAAATAGATGTACGTATGTGAGTGTGCGTATGTATTTGCCGATACAAATTTTTGTCCACGATCTCAAGAGCACGAATCAACCGATTTAATTAATTTAATAAAATTGTCAATTTGTATTGACTGGAAAACGTGATGATGGGGCTTTCGCGGTTTCGGAGATCCAAAAAGTTAAAAAAAAAACATTTGACAGTCAAAAATGATCATCAGGAATATTCACATCAAGTTATTAGATATTTTATAGAGATTGTAATATTAAGCACAAATTATGTATACTTTTGTACGTTTTCCGTACCAAGATTTATAGTGTTTACATCGGATTTCTGCAACACAACGCTTTGCTCATCTCTGAAATAAAAACTTTCAAAATTTTCTTAATAACTCAAAGCTTCTAATAATTTTAAATTATGGCACGAGATGTATCAGCGATTTGCCTTAAAGCACGACGCCATGCATCACTAGTTAATGGTTAGTTTTATATCTTCAAGAGAATGAAAACGAATCATATTTTTGTTTTTTGTTCTGCATGAATTCACTATCTAATTTTTGTGGAACAGATTTATTTACGAAATTTATTTAGTGCAACAGGTATATGACTTGAATGGGGAAATGAAGCCTTCTATGCCGCACGGTACAACATTATTACATCAGATAGAAAAAAGACATTGCACCGTGGATCATGTGAATGCTACCGATTCGGAAAACTGGACACGCCCTGCGACCAAGGGGTACTGCACGCCATCAACGACCACCACGAAGGGGTGTCATGCGTCGGCACGGATGGCTCAACGGCAAACTCTCGCTTGCTGTCGAGCACTGTAAGATCGACACCGGTCGTTCTCCTCAGCACGGACGGCGGACGAGCTCGTCAATGTAATGACGTAGCAGCGGACGCTGCAGTCCAGATACAAACAGCGACGGAGGATGCCAGTCATCCCGGCCAAAAGGACGAATGGTTCGTCTAACAAGTGTAAGTTAAGCAAATATGGTCATTCACATATTATGTCTTATAAGATAGAATGTCTTATATTATGGGGAAGACTGGGTATGGTATTGACAGTCGTTATAAAAGCTAATATATACTGATTGTGAGATAGCGTCCAAAGGGAGAAACATGAAGTATGTGTTTCCGAACAAGTTCCCGTCAGTGCCTTACATTAATATGATCAGTAGACCGTATTGCTCTTGAAGAGTCAGAAGTAACTTTTTCATGTTCGAATTCTTTCGATCATAACTGTTAATTGTATACAGGTATATTACTTATTTATTATTTTGCTGTAAGTTAAACATTAAGGCCTGATCACAGACGCCTGTTTTATTGCTTTTTTTGGTCTGCCGGCTAGCATGCTGGTCGTCAAGTAGACAAAATGACGGGTCCATTTGTTTCCGGCAAGCGAGATTTTGATATTCGAACGTGCGCTGTTTTTGTGAATGGATTCTAGATCTATGAATAAAGCCATAATCACATGACATTTTTTTTCAGGGCTGGCTACATGGCATGCTTGATTTTTGGGTGTGATTTATTTTAGCTTGCTAGATTTTCAAATATGACAAACCATATGATAAAATTCTTTGTCATCTTCTTTTTAACTTCCCGAAAAGAAGTTATAGTAATCGCAAAAAAATCGAAAATGGAAATTGTTATATATCTTTACGTTTCAAAGGTTTCTGAACATTTTGGCATATCTTAGAAAAAATTGATGTGCGCGTGTGTGTGTATGTGTGTTTTTTTATAGAGGTGCGAGAAAAAATCTTTATAAAAAACCGTCATCATTGATACTCCGCTGTCCATCCTACAGCAGACAACGATGGACGGTAGTGTGAAGATTAACCCACTAAAAAAAATACTCCTCTCCCCTCTCCCCGCAGATGGTACGGAGAGGACTGGATTGGAACCACGTTAGCATTACATCAATCCAGTCCATGCTGCGCTTTGCAACGCCTGCTTCCGACTACTGGTCTCTTTCTCCGGTTTTATCCTTCAAAAGGTGCTGTGCATAAGCTGCTACAGCTGACCAGTTTTCTTCTTGTTTCATCATGCAGGTCACAGGACTTGAGGGGATGAGTCTGGTGCCTATAATGTCTTCGTCGTTGTTACGGTAGTCCTTCCACCGAGCACATTCGAAAACGTGTGCTCAGCGTTGTCGATTTTATCTGGACAGTATTTGCACATTGGCGTGCTATGCAAGCCCATCTTAAAAGGATAGGCATTATACTGTTCATGTCCTGTCAGTAGCTGGGTCAGAAAGAAATCTGTGTCCCCGTATTGTTGAGAGAGCCAGACGCTAATGTCCGGAATCAAGCGCGCCGTCCATCTGCCCGTCTCTCCTGACGTCCACCGATTTTGCCACTCTTGTCGCGTTTTCTTTTTTATTTTCGACCTTGTTTCTTTGGAGCTGTCGCCATCTATTTTAGCGTCGTAGAGTTTTACACTCTCGAATGCTAGCAAATCAATTGGTGTTGCTTCTGCTATTACCAAGACAGCTGCTTTTGAGACCGTGCGATAGGCACAGGTAACCCTTAGTGCTTCTCGCCGATATGTTTTTTGCTTGAGGATATCCGCCCATATTTCCGCTCCGTATAGCAGTACAAAATGGACTACTTCAAGCAGGACTCGTCGTTTTCGGGTTTGTGGTCCCATGCAGTTAGCCATGATCCTTGACAAGTTGGATACCGTCTTGCTAGCTTTATGCATGCGCTATCGATGTATTCTCGGAAGAATAGCTTCTCATCTATCATTAGTCCAAGGTAGCGCAAGACCCTTGTTGACGCTAAAGTTGTCTCTCCTATGCCTACAGTGAATGGTTTTGGAAACCATTTTTGTCGAGTCAAAAAAAAAACATCTCCGTTTTCTGTTTGGCGAGCTTTAGGTGGTGTTTCTCAAGCCAGGTGTCTATGGTATCGACGGTCTCTCGAACGAGTAGTTTAGCCTCCTCGGTGCTGTTCACTACGATCGTAGCTCAGACGTTGTCCGCAAAGCCTGTGAGTTCCACCTGCTTCGGCAAAGGGATCTCCAGGAGCTCGTCGTAGACAGCGTTCTACAGATCGGCTCCTAAGATTGAGCCTTGAGGTACACCACCTGTAACCTCTTGTTCTTGATGACCTTTCATCGTTTCGTCTATCAACTTTCTCTCATCGAGATAGTCATCTATCGGTCCTAGATTCTCTGGCTTTACGTCAAAATTATGCTCTAGAGCGTTTAAAATATCCTCCCAATTCGCACTGTTAAAGGCGCTTGTAACGTTGAATGTAAGGAGGAGACACACTTTACGAGCTTCAAGACTACCATGCCATGCTTTTCTTGCTGTTTCCGTTACCTTCCGAATCGCGCCGATTGTCGATGGTCCTTTTTGAAATCCGTGTTGGTTCTTGGTAAAACCTCCAGCGCAATCAATGTCGTTGCGCAGTCTGCATTGAATGAGTTTCTCAAGCAATTTGCCGGCAATGTCTAACATGCAGAGTGGTCGAAACGACGATGGTGTTACAGGGGTTCCCTTACTTTTGTGTATTAGGACCAATCTTTGCCGCTTCCAGACCGTAGGAAAGGTGCCGATCGCCAGACAGGAATTGTAGGCGTTCAGATGAATATACGAAAATTTCAAGGCTACAGTCTTGATCACTGAGGCTGCGATGTCATTAGGTTCTGGTGCTTTCTCTGTCTTTATGGTTTTCGCCGCATCTTGTAGTTCCTTGACAGTGAAGGGTGTAGTTTCACTGTTTTCCACGTATTGTCTCCTTTTCCGTGGCGGGTGTTTAGGGAATAGTTCCGCTACGTTGCAATTCATCAGAGCAGGAAAAGGAAAAATTTTGGTAAAGCTCTACAAGTCGTTTTGTAACACTTTGATAGGCTTTACCCCAGAGATCTTTGTCAAGATCATTGCAAATCTCCTTTCACAATCCGGCTTTAGCTGATTTTATGGCTTTATTTAGGGTCTTTTTTGCCTGTTTGTACTCGTACACGCTCACACAATAGGTCGTGGGAATCCTGATTTAAACGAAACCCTCTCTGCTTCCGTTGTCATTGACGGTGATCTCCTTCGAGTTTATGGTCCATATTGTTGCCGTGCCAGATTTATCTGCGAACCATGATTTATCCTGAATATTCATATATTGCTCGCAGAGAGGGCACATATCGATTTTATTTTCAAAGATACGTTGGCGCAGTAGATTCTGCGCCAAGGCACATCTATTCAGATTACTTGTAAAAATCGCGTCATTTCTGTTCTCTCGTAGCTTCGGCAAGTGGTACACGGAATGCCTTACTGGTACCGGTTCCGGCGACATGACTCCCGCTGTTCCGCTCTTCTTTGTCTACTGTACATATGGAGCATTTTGGCTTTTCCGTGCAGTCTACAGACTTGTGATTTTTCCTGCCGCATTTGTAGCAATACTTGCTTCTGTCTGGACTCCCACATTCATGCGTTTGGTGTCCGAAACCGAGGCATCTAAAACAGCGGGCCTCTTTAACAACTGGGCGAATGCGACAGTTAACCCACCCAATTCTTGTGCGAGCTCTATTTAAAGGCCGCTCGTTGTCCTCTTGATGTGACTTTGGTCATGTTCACTCCTCGAATTTCCAGTTTTGTCGTAAAGTCCTGATTGAGTACTTTGCGGACATCGTTTTCGGCAGAGACACCATCAAGGTCAAGAATCTCTATCGTCGCCAGCGGCGTCAGTGTTTTCACTGTTCCTATGTTTTTAGTTGCTACCCTTATTGCGGCTGCACTATCTTCGGACTTGGGACTCATTTCCAGTAATGAACCTCCATATCTTGTCTGTTTGATGGACTTTATATCCAGGCGTGTCTCTGTCGGGTTTACTTTTTTCTTGATCTGTTTAAGAATATCAGCGTACGTTCGTTCTATGGACATACGAACAGCCTTGGTTCTATGTTTCCTCCGAGTTTTCCTATGATGGCCGTTTCTATGCTTCGCACTATCATTTGATTCGATTTTTTCGGTTTCCGGTTTCTCGGTTTTCTTTAAGGTTACTTTCGGATCCCGTGCTCTTTTTTTCTTCGAACTTCATCGAGCCACTTCCGTCCAGTTATTTTCTACAGCCGATTTTTTGGGTGGATGTGTTTTCGCGTCAGAGGCGGGGCTAAGTGACGATAGCTGCCTTTTGTTTGTGCTTTGCTCCTGAGTCTTAGGGGTTGGTGTCCGAGTTACACCCGGCCGAATAGTTGTCTCGCGAGAGGTCTGTGTAGTTGGCACTGTCATTGCGACAGCTTTGGGTGCTGCCGTATATTCTTTCAATGCCAGGCTATATGCTGTATCAATCGACCTCATTAGCTCCTTTATTCTGCTGTGAACATTGTTCCTATCTTTGATATACTTCTCTAGCTTGTCAATTTTGGAACCAAGTCCCTCCATCGGCGTCTGACGATATCTAGTCGATGGTGCACAGTTTACTCTGTCTCGGTGAAGATTACCAGGAACCTTCTTGCCTTTTAAAACGGTTTGGTCTGCGAGGGCTATTTTATTTCGCCCCAATCCGCCGATCTTACGATCGGTTAGGAACCTCTTTATCCGCCACCTGGAAACGCGACCGGTAGGAGATTGGCTTCTCCTGATGAGATGTATGTGTGTGTGTGCGGATACAAATTTTCAAATTTGCGGAGACAAATTGTCGACGATTTCGGGAACAAGGTTCAACTCATTTCAATTATTCAAAAAACCCTCGATTCCTATTAATAAGGAGACGTGCTAATTAGTTTTTGGCATAGGCAGGTCTAGCCGTTTCAAAGATACGAGGCAAAAAGTGCCAAAAACGGTAACTCAGTTTTTACTTGTATTGACAAGATGAATACCTGCTGGAAAAGCTGGTCTAGCGGTTTCGAAGATCTGGTAAAAAAGTAAAAAAACGCCATTTTAAGGCCAAAAATGATCATTAGACATATGAACATCAAATTATCAGATACCTTATGGTGTATTTAATAATGTGTATCAATTTTGTTTACATTTCTATGGG